CCCCCCCCACGCCGCCGCCGCCCCCCTGCCCGGCCCGCCGGTGGAGGAGCCGCGGCGGGAGAACGGCGGCGAGTGGTGCCCCGGGAGCGGCAATGCGGTACCGCCGAGCGGTGAGAGCGGGGCCCAGCCCCGGGAGGCCCCCGGGAGCGCGGCGGCCGAGCCCCCCGAGGGTGGCTGGGGCTGGGTGGTGATGCTGGCCGCCATGTGGTGCAACGGCGCCGTCTTCGGCATCCAGAACTCGTGCGGGGTCCTCTTCGTCTCCATGCTCCAGCTCTTCGGCGACGGCGAGGACAAGCAGCTGGCGTTCAAAACAGGTGAGGGGAAAAAAGGGTCGGGGGGGGGGCTTCCTGCCCGTTCTCCCCCCCCTTCGGGCCTTCCCCGCCCGGCTGTCAGTGTCCGAGACCCCCCCGGGGCGGGCGGGAGGTGCGGGCCGGAGCCTGCCCCGCCGCCTCCAGCACGCGGGGCTGGGCTGAGGGACTCGGAAACAGTCGTTTCATCGAGGCAAGGAGAAGCTCCTCTCTCGTCCCCGGGGGAGGAGTGGGGGTGTCTGCGCTCGCAGCCGTGCCCCAGGGGACGGGCTTGGGGCAACAAGCTGCTGGGACATCGGGGGAGAAGCTGCGGGGAAAGAAGCAGGTGTCTTCTGGCTCCTGCCACAGCAGGGTTTTTAGGCACCTGTCATCGTGTGTTATGGGGAAAAATGCCTACTGCTGGTCCCAGAAAGTTTTATTCCCCGGCCCCCGTTAGCCTAATGGTTAGTCTAAATGATTAATTAGCAGTGGAGTATAGTGGCACTTCAAATATGTGAAGAATGGGCTTAGCAGTTGCCAAAACCAGCATTTTGATGTGCAGATTTACAGCTGTTACCAGTATCCCTAAACTCACCAGTGAAGTTAATAACGTTTACTAAACTCTAAAGACATAACGGTGCTATCACAATCAAATCCCTAGTCTGCCATTACTAATCTAAATCATTCTAGACACACCAATGTTAATTAATTCGAAGGTGAACTATTTTATTTATTTTATTTTATTTCTTTTATTTTCTTTGAAAAGTGTTTCGTGCTTTGACTTTGTAAGTTGAGGAAATGCAGTAATAACAATTTATAATGACAAAAACGAGCTAATAATTATAACTTGGTCAATAATAATAAAGTTTGCGTTATTTAAAAGGTAGCTTACATATTAAAATTAAATATTAAACAAACACTGTCTTTTATGTTTTTGTTCCTCGCTAAAAAAAGGTGTTCTAGCTACATAGCCCTGCAGAGGTGTAAACATTCTAGGCAACTTTCTCAGTGCACTGGTGTTACAGACCTTTAAAAGGGTTTTGAAATTTGTTTTCCTTAATATTGGGATAAGTGGGCCTAAAGTTGACATGTAGGAGACAATGAAGCTAATTTTCGTCCTGTCAATAACAATGTTTTTGTTTGAAGTAGAAACACCAAGGCAGGTGTTTAGACTGAAAAATCCTGGAAAACTGTGGTGGAGCATTTAGCAATGTGCTCTCCAGCATTTGAACTGTTTGTGGTGATGTACAAGGTATATTTCTGGGTGTTCTTGAGCAAGAAAGGTGGGAAGCTATGTATGTCTACACATCAGGCGTGGCAGTGCCTGTTTCATGGAAGGAAAATGCACATCCAGAAGTAGGTACCTAGGCTCCTTAACCTGTGCAGGAGAGGAATGAGGTTGTTCAGAGGAGATGCTGTGAACATTTGCATGCTGATCTGGGAGCCTGTTGGCCAGTCAGAAATGCAGAAACACCTGGGTGGTTGGTACCCTCTCTGCTCATGGTACAGTGGTGTAATTGCTTTTTCAGGGATTTGGTTCTCTAGTAATGATCTTTCAAAATAGTCTTCTTGTACTGAAAAGAAATTAAAATTTACTTCTAGGTAATAGTGCAGTAGTCAAAATAATCAACAAGAGGAGGATTGAAATTATTATCTCTTCCCTTCCAGAAGAGTAATTGCACCGCTGGTGTTAAAGCGAGGTGAGATTGCGGGTGTGCTCCACCCATGTTTTTGAAAATTTGCCCAACTGCAGAAAAGAGTGGGGGTAAAAAAGTGGAACCTGGCTTTAGAGCCTAGTTGTTTTGCATCCTGCTTAGAAGAGCGGGAAGTGTTCCGAGTCCTGGATGCAGCCAGCACCTCCTGCATTGCTTTTTTCTTTTTTCTTTATTTAAAAAAGAAAAAAAATAAGCTACAGCTGCATTTTGTTTTGCTGTCAGATGTGCTCTGTTTTGGGTAATGCAGAAGATCCTCATTTTGCCTTTTAAAATCCAAATAGGCTTAAGTTGGAGGCAATAGCATGAGACAGCTGCATGGACTAGATGACTTGTGTGGATGTGAAGGAGGAGGACTGCAAATACAAAAGTGCCTCCCCTAACTAGCAGAACAGCAGATAAAAGGTTGACCTTCCTTTTAATACCTGAAAGTACCCTAATGAGTCTGGGCACCATAAGGGCTAAGCAGCAGCTGTCAAACAGGACTTTTTTTTCTTAATGTTGAACTTCATCACCTAGAAACTACTTGTGTGCTATTTTTTTTTTAATCTTGTTGAAGATAGGACCGAGAATGAAGTGAACTAAAATTCTGATACGATATTGCCATGAAGAGGAGTTATGATCAGAAATGGCAAATTGCACTTAGCATAGCTCTTATTAAATGCTGATGCGTTAGCTGGCATGCTGTAGAAAGAAAAAGAATGACTAATGAAAAAGTCAGTATGATTTTAGTGCTAGAGAAAACCCTAGCCTGATCACTCCCATGGTATTGATTATAGTACTTAATCTGGGTAGTCTCTTGTGGTTGGACTGATTGCGACTCAAAAGTGACAGTGGAAACTGTTGAGTAGCATTTAATGAATTTGAAAACTGGGATTTGTAATGAAAGTTTCTTTGCTCTGTGGTTTTGCTTTGGAATACAAAGTTAAATATCCTAATCCTTCTGGAAAAAAATTCTTTAAAATCCAAAATGTTGATTTTTGAGAGGCATGAATATTCCAGATAATTTCTCCTGGGAGCCCAGGTGCCTGTGGAATCTTACAGTTGATCCAGAGTACCACAAAATCCAACTTTTTTTTTAATTGTGGGATTATTTAGCTGTTGCCAGAAGCATATGTGTTGCCAGAGGTTTTTGTGTGCCTGCTCTTTTGGGACAAGCCAGTAGTTGTCTCTTGCCTGGTGTTTTCCTCAAAAAGAAGAATTTAGTAGACTACAGTACATGCTGTTTTTGTTAAAAACATTTTGTAATCTCTTAATTCATGCCTATCTCTTTGTAAGGCAAAATGGGAGGGAATTAAGTAATCATAGTATGTGCTATTTTTGTTATTTTTAATAGATGGATGGATATTTATCAGTATGAAAGGCAAAATGGGAGGCAGAAGGGAGGAGGATGTAGTCAAGGAGTAGCTCATGCTGCTGTCACGGTCTTGCAGATAAGGAGGGGAAGGAACCAAAAATACAGGCAAAGCAGCAAGGCTTCCTCCAAAGTGCAGCATCAGCACTAGATAAATAAGATGAATAACTATAACATGTTGCAGGATTTAGGAGTGTTAATTGAAAAACTTGAGCTGTGAGTTATAGAAGCTTCGCAAATTTCTTCAAGAGGCTTCTAATAATTCAAACCTTTTATGAAAAATCTTGAATGTAACTAGTATATAATATTTTGGTATTCATATTGGTAAAAATCTTGTTTGTTTGCTTATGTGGAGCACTATATAAGCATTTCCATTGTTTCCTTGTGTAGCCAGTTTTTTGTTCAAAAGCTAATTGATGCACAACTACAGAAGAGGAAAAGCCCCCAATGTAAGTATAAAACTTCTAGGAAGATGTGCCTGAAGTCTCAGGAAACTGCCTCGTTCATTGTTTATAGTTAATTGTGTTTGAGGAACAAGTTGAGTGGAAAAACACAATGGCAATGAAGTACGGGAGGCTCTTAGTCCTTGGAAATAGGGCAGACCTAGTAGGCCTCTAGTGTTCAAATGCAATTGTAGTCTGATGTCCTTGAAGGGAAAGGATTGGGCCCCAGGGCTACTCTGGCCTCTGGCAGGAGGAGCACTTGGTTCTTCTCCCTCTTGGCATTGGCACAGAGAGAAGTGGAGCACTGAGCCAGCTCCTGTTATCTTGGTTAGAGATCTGACATGTGAGCCCCATCTACTCCTGTGTTATGCTCTCATCATAGATGCCTCTACTGTGTAGGTTTTTGTGTGTGTAGGTACACATACCTGCTTTCAAAAGGTAAATAAATGCTAAGATAGTAGTGGCAACAGAGAAAAATCTGAGTTTTATTTAAAAAGGTAGACAAAAAAACTAGTTCTACTAGCTTAATTACTTCTCTTTCTATGATTTCCAAAGCTGCTTCTGTAATGCCACTGGATTATTCTCTTTATATTTGTTCATCTTCACTTGTACAAATAGCCCTGCACAGTGAGTATATACTGTTATTACTGTTCTGTATCCTCATGTTTGTTTTGTGTTAGCAAGTGTTAATAGAAACAGTGGGTCAGCTGCCTTGAACTGGTTATCCGTGTGCTTGTACGTATCTGCCTTGTTTTGGCTCTGTAAGGTGCAGCCTCTGGTGATGCATCTGGATACCAGAATGATTGGTAGTTCATTGAGCTGGCTCAACAACCGTCAGCACCATTGGGACTGTTGGAGCTGGATTGGTGTGGGTCCAGTAGGGCAGGGAGGAGAATTCTGCCTTTGCTGTCATACCCAGGCCATAGCTCGGATACTGTGAAAATCATGTTGGATGACTAGGGATCTACAGGTGCTGAGAACAAGAGAACCAGTACCATATATGGTAACTTAATTTTGCTGGGTAGGGCTGGCTTCTTAATTTAATAGGACAGTTTGAAGTTGAAGGTTTTCCTTTACTTTTTCCTTGAGTCTTTCGCTATCTCCCTGAGCTTTGCTTCAGAGATAAAAAAACTGCTGATGGTGTTTTTATCATTCAAGACCTTGTTCTCTAACTGTCCTTCAGAACCACACTTTCATCTCTAGTTCTATGGGATGTGGTTTCCAGTAAATTGGAAAGCTTGGTGAGCTGGAACGATGTCACATGGCTTATGACAGAGCTGTTGACTTTTTTCTTTTTAAAAAGAGAGAGGAAAAAAAATAAAACTTGAAGCATGGAAGTTTTGAGAGCACACAACTGTAATTTGTGTGAGGTACAAGAAAGCACGCTACTATGTAGCAGTTTGGTCAATAATTACTACATTGCAATTAAGGATATAGTTCCACAAAAACTGGGAGAGATGGATATTGGTGCTGCTGTAGTCTGCCTTCCTTCCCATGCTTTTGTGGCCATTGAAACCA